GGTCACAAGAAGGACCGCTCCTTAAGGCCACACTTTCTCTTGCCTCTGAACGCTTGCATGAAGTTCACAGGGTGCGAGAGTGGAAAATGCGCAGACCAGCCGCGTGTGTCTCCAAGAGACATCAAAAACGCACGGTCTTCACTAAAGCACGTGTATCAAAGCTGCGCACACAGGGAGCACGGAAGAGTGCTAGCTGAGTGTGTTGATTCTCACAGTTGCGAAGGCAAGGAGCAAAGAAGACTGCCAGCTTAACAGTGTGTCGACGTCAGGTTGCTTGAACTTACCGAGTAACGGCAATTAGATCGGTAAAATCGCGTTATCGTCGGTGGCCCGCCTGAACTCAGGTTTGGTTGTTTCTGAAGTTTTAACGTTTGCTCGCGCCAGAAGACCTAGTGAAACCATACATAAATTGATGGAACCGATGCCCAGGAGCTCTGTCGCTGCTGCCCTCAGGACCTAATTCTAATGAGGCGCTCCATCGCGAGGTCAAGTCTTGGTTTTTGCAGACGCAAAAAATAACATCAACACACTCTGCTGCTTAAGTTGAACATTTTGCACATTTGCAAGATTTTGCTCATAATCTGGCCAGCCGCCACTCAACGATTAGTCAAGCCAGCAGCACCGCGAATAGCAGACTATTAGATGGCAGATAGTCTGCAATTCGCAGGGGAAGCCGCCGTTGCGCACTTTGAGTTTATCGGCAAATAGTAAAAGGCCTTTCGTGCGCTGTCCGGTTGGCCCTCTAGCCAGATATGCGTACTCCCAAATATATTTCAATTTCTCAAGGCGTGTCACAGTCATGCTGACGCTCGGATCTTGACGCTTGGCTCAAGCTCAAGTCCCCGTGAACGAAGTTGTGGAACTTCAGATCTAAGGTTAATGCCTTAGAGATTGCAGTCAAGGATTCAAGGTTTAGGAACAGGGTTTTAGGGTTTAGGGACGAAGTTGTGGATAAACCCTAAGCCCTAAACCTCAAATCGAGGAGGATCACTTGTGGCAAGCCACTACGCCCCGCAGCAAAAACGCGTCGGCGTGTTCGCGGGTGTAAGTCTTCCAATCAAGCCTATCCCCATTTGGTGTCGAGGGCCCCCAACTCCCAGTACGCCATTTTCAAGTCTGGGGCTCCCCGCTCAGAGTGGCCCTTTTGGGTTTTGGGGTTAGACGTTTAGGGTTTAGGGTTTGGGGTTTAGGGTTTAGGGTTTAGAGCTTAGGGTTCATCCCTCTTATTCAATCAGGGCGAACCGACATCCCTTCAAACGTCTCAGCACTCGCATCTTACAGCGTCGGATTGAAACTTGTTGCTCAGCCCCCCAAACCCCCTAAGCCCTCGTCCCTGAAACCTAAACCCTAAACCCTAGATCCTAAACCTTAGGCCCTAAACCCTACAGCCTGGCAAATGAAAGCCTAGCAAGTAGAGGGAGATAAGACCCTAAACCCTACACCCTAGACCCTAAACTCTGAACCTTAAACTCCCTAAACTCTAAACCATAATGCCGTGCTGGTCGATGGGTCTGTCGTGACCTAGGGCAAAGCCTTTGCTCGCGGCGACAGCAGTGAGGTGCAAAATGAGCTGATAGACATGAATCAAATCCAAGCTATTAGGTGTGCTTTTGCTGCTATTCTAGTCGGTTGAATTGTTGTGACCTGAACTGACGCCAAAAGTCTCGAATGGTTCATGGTTTAGGGTTAAGGGTTTAGGATGTAGGGTTCTGGTCTTAGGGTTTAAGGGTTCAGCTTGAATGATTGGGAACTCTGAACATCTCTCTCACATACCTCTAGTTGCAATATGTAGAATATGAAACGCAAGTACTCATTTGATAACTGTTAGTACTGTTGAAGTAAAACCCAAAGCAAGTGATCACATTATACCTAAAGGTCCATGGCTCATATATATATATATATATATTCCTTCCTTTGCATGTATGGGGTTCCAATGATGTCCTTTTCAGGCTGGCCTTCCTCCATCTTTCCTACCAGCTGCTGTTAATGTGTTTGGGTATGACTATATGTGCATATGTACAGATATAGTACCCGTCCATTGACCTACCTTTTTCTCGCGTAATGTTTTCCATCTCTGTGCTTTCTGGAAATACACGCATGAGGGGCTGAGCTCAAGCAACACAGTGGGTTTACCGACGTTTTTCTCGGGCTCATAGTTCCAAGAAACGTGGACGGTTTGGAAGCATGGTTTTGCCAACGTTTTGTCGTGAATTGGGAGACCGATTTCGTGGAAAGCAATGGTTGTACCAACGGCTTCCGAAATTCCATGATATTTCCGAGGGCCTCCGTTCCAAACCATAGATGTTGTTTTAGGTGAGACATTGGTTTTGTTAACGTTTTTCATGAAATCAAAGACCGTTTCATGCGAAACATTGGTTTGGCTTTGCCAGTGCTTCCCAAATGTCCATCCAAAAGCATTGAACTTTTGGGAGGTTTAGTCAGAGCACAATCCTGTAAGCTAGAGACACGTAACAAGTGAGAGCATATTTGCAATCCCAGCGGCTTGAGATTAGCTGCTGCATTCTCTCGCAATGTTCCCGGCAGTTCAAGCAGTACAACTCGAATTGCACTTGTATGTGCCTCCGATTCTGCTAATCGAATTGGCTGAAAATTTGGCATTCAGCATCTAATTTCAAATTTAGAGTTAGGACTACACATATGAACAGCAATGCTGTCCTACGTTCTGGCCTCTACATAGCGGAGCTTGTTTGTTGACCTCCAAATATGTGAAACGACCCAATTCGATTATGTACCTTTCAATCTTGGGGGAACTAGCAGTCTAACTAGCACGAGCAGAGTCGAAAAAGTGAAGTGGTCTTTCATGGTCTTTAATTTCAATGAGAATGGTTGTGTCAACGTAGCCAAATATTGACATGTTTATCGTTGAGTGGGGGAACTAATCTGAGCACGCGTGCCCAGCGATTAGCAGAATTGGAGCTCAGTTCTGTGCATGAGAGTACGTGTACGATTACAGATAAAAAGAGGCAACGCTGTCCTGCATTCTCTTCCAAATACAGAATTTGATACGCGTAATCAACACAGTTCAATTTTATTACACTTCGGGAGGAATAAGTATCCAATTAGCAAGAGGATAACTTAACCCTATATGTTCTGGTCGCTTAAAACTGGGATCATCTCGCATGATACAAGCGATTTATTAAGCCAACTCTTGCCCTTCATTACAAAAAAGCATCCAGCCACAGATTGTAATCATCCTTTGGTGCGTCGTTTGTCCCAGTGGCTGGCCTTCATTCTCGTTCACTATTCCTGGCCATTCTAACAGTATAGCTTCGAAATTGTAATTGGCCTCCAAGTTATGTCAAACCTGGTTAGCAGAGTTTTTCCATTGTTAGCTTCGGATGGGGAACAAATATGACTGCGAGCATTTATCTATAAGCAGTCCCACCCAGAGAAGCCCAGAAAGCGTCCCGCCGAGTATTCCTGGACTGCCCACCCACAGAGAAGCCCGCCAAAGAATCCCGATCAATCCCGCAAAGAATCCCGCCGCAGAGAATCCCTGCAGCGTCCAATCCGCAAAGTATCCTTGGAGGGAATTTCCTGTCCGAAAAGAGAGATGGCTCTGATATTTGTTGGCTTTGGGATGGGGATGATCGAAATAAATTTGAACGCTACGCGACCCGCCTCGGCCAGGGTGCGTGGACACGGCACCGGCGAGGCAAGGTCGCCATTCTGGGAAAGCTAGCCACCGGCCCGGCCTGGAGTAAAGCGATTTCGGGACACCCACCATCTGGCTCACTGGCACGCTCCTGATGAGTGCGACGATCCACACAAGGTCCAGGCATCGGAGGAATGACTCAATATTCAAGATTTGGCTGTGTGTGCTAAGCTGTGAGACATGCAACATCATGCAACGGAAGACAAAACCAAAGCTTCGTGATGATGTGAAGAAAAACGGACAAGGGAGCAGATTCTGCCCGCTGCTGCACACATGTAAGGCGATAATTTTAACGCTACGCGACCCGCCTCGGCCCGGCCCAGCGCATCCGCGTGAGCATGGTGATTCCGCAGCGCCCAAGTCGCTGGACCCCAAGCAATAAGGGTTGGGTTGAGGGTTGAGGGTTGAGGGTTCCGGGTTTATGGTTTATGGTTTGAGGGTTAGTTTAGGGCTCAAGGTTCACGCTTTGGGGTTGAGGCAGGCCCCTTAAGGTTTAAGGCGACTCTTCAGCAGGGTGGGGGGGAGGGGGGGAGGGGGAGGGGGGGGAGGTGGGGGGAGGGTAGGGGGGGGGGGAGGGGGGGGGGTAGGGGGGGGGGGGGGGAGGGGGGGGGGGGGGAAGGGGGGGAGGGGGGGAACGGGCGGGGGGCCCTGCTGGGAGGGGCTTCAACTGCCTCTGGTCCTGGCGAACCGTCCGCTTGCGGACCCCGGTTTCCCAGGGGGGGTACCCATTTGAGGCCAAAAAAGGGGTCCGAAAAAGGGCTTTGGGTGTGGGGGGAGGATTTGGAGGGGGGTGCCTGTTTTGACAACCTATACACCTCCGGCCCGAGGCCTCGGCGGATATGAGCGATAAAGATCCCCACAAGTAGTACGCCTGACATTGGGTAACAAGTTAGTGATGAAAACGAGTCTAGGGTTTCAGGGAGCCCGTGTGAGTTTGTTGCCGACCTACATCCAAGAAGCAAACGATCAAAGGGGCGGGGCAACGCTCCACACGTGAGGCTGACTTCGCATTTCGGCCACTCCAGAGCAACCGCACTATCATGCAATGTCTGTCGTCCCAGCACTCAGTCTCCAGAACAGGCTAAAATGACAAACCCGAACCTTAAAGCCTTTGCCGCGCAAGAGCTTTGTATCAGAATCCACTCGCCTTCACGAGGGCCGGGCTGTTCGTATGAGTAGGATGGAAGGATGGAAGGGGGGCTGCATGTAGGTTGAACAGAACGACAATGACAGTGAGCATTATCGAGACTACAGGCAGGACCAAGACTAAAGGAGTCTTCCGCAGCATTTCGATCATGTCTGTTGCCTGGCCAAAGACGCCGAGGACCAACTTGGATGGCAAGAAACTATCGAAGATGTTGCCGCGTTTGGACCGTGTTGGGCACTTAGTCAGAGAGGCGGCATTGTGGAATCATGACGCCTGTCATTGCATACGTCTGATTACTTTCATCATGATGATGGCTTCAGAGCTCGGCGGCGACAGTTGCCGCATCTTGAACTATCATTTTTTTGGTGCCACTTTGTGTCCGTGCCATCGTGCATCGCGATGTTTGCCGATTTTCTCTTTTCTCTGCTTTTCACATAATCACGTGTTTGCGTAGGTTCTTCATTTATCAATGCTATCGGAGCATCTCGGAACTCTGCATCATGAGCATCTCCCCTGCCATGAAGCCACGTGCAAGCCGAGCATGACACGTTGAAATGCCACGAGCAGGTACAGCCCGGGATTCGCACAGCCGTTTTGTTGAACCCCCCAGTTTGGAAGAGACTTTTGTCTCCATGACCGTCAATGACCCCTGGGCCCTTCTTCGGGTGATCTTGAGATGCCTTGCGTTCAAACTCAAACTAAATGATTTCCTGGGTGCAGCCCATCCCTCCCGAGCGCATTCCTCGTGCCACTGCAGCAACTGCAGCAATTCACTGGTGACATGTGGTGACCTCTGAGGTTCTTCTCGACGCGCCGTGCACAGGCCGGAATCTGGTTTTGGAAGTTTGCGTACGCGCCCGGAGAGGGCTCCGGGTCTTTGCCTCTCGATCTCAAGCGCCTGAAGGTTCGGGAATCATTGCCCGAGATCCGTCCGTGAAGGTGAAGCGAGGCCAGAAGGAGCGCCTTGAATAACAAGGCAAACAACACATGCTCACACTGCTGAAAGCAGATAACATCAAGCAGGCAGGTCTGCTTGAGTAGTCAGCAGTCAGCTGTGCTCAGCAGTTCTGTTGTAAACAGCGAGCTACGCGCAGCTTAATGTGGGACCCTCTTTAATGTGTAGGCCCCCCCCCCCCCCTTGAACAGTCGAGGCGTGGATGGGATCCTGATTACACGGCCCCGGGGGCTTGTGTGATTTTAATAGGGAGGAGTTTAAAAGGGGCAGCGATGCCCAGCATCTTTTTTAAAGGCGCGCCGCGTGGATTTTTCTTACGGCGCCCGGACGATTTGACTTTAAAGAGGATCCCCCAAACAGTCAAGGGATCCTGAATAATTCGGCCAATTTGACTTTAAAGAGGCCCCCCCACTAAACAGGGTCCAACATTATTTCTTACACGATCGGCTCGTGCGAGAAGGTTGGTTCAGATGAGCGTTGTGCCATCATCTGCCATCATAATCCAAAATACCATGTGCAGGACTTCGAGAACCACAGTCGCTTGCAAAAGGAGCTGCTTGCGGCGGCCATTGACATGGTCGATGCAGGTCGGGGGAAACACTGTAGGGTTTTTTTGGTTGCACCCCGGATCGACGTCCGGCTTTTGCTCATTTTTGCTGTGTAGGCTCCAAGACCGGCGGGTACGTCGTCTACTCAACCTGCTCAGTATCTGTGGAGGAGAACGAGGCACAACAGCTTGTGGCATGTGTCGACACGGTGCATTGTCGCAGAATGCATCTCTTTGATGTCTTTGGTGTGGTTGACCAGGACCCATCCAAAAGGGAAACGCTAGGAATCACTCCGGTCGACCCTTCGTGTATACTTCGCAATGACGCATGCCATCATCTGCTAGCTTCATCCAGCTTCCCTAACCTCAACTTTACGCTTGACATTGTCAGGGCCGGTCCGTGATTCTGACCAAACCAGGGAGTGAACATTGCTTCCCGCACCCCACCACTGCAACAACCTCAGCGAACGTTCCGCTGCTTCGCCTTTCCGCAGGCTGTCGTGGACCACGCCCTGAAAACGCGAAATGTCGAGTTGGTGTCCTTCACGAGCTCGGTCAGTGGCAACCTTAGCAATTGGACAGGTCCGAAATCCACTTTGCCGGATTCAACATCTGCATGTTGCTCTTAATTCCTCGACCCCGAGGTTTCATTGGCAACCATCTTGTTGAACTTGCTTTATGGAAACTACGTGCTTTTGCAAAGTATATGCCAGAATCCTTCTGGAATGTTGCAGGTCTTGTGTTGAATTGGGTTCCTACCCTGATAGCATTTCACGGGAAGCGCGCGCATGTGTCTGGACCTCGCCCCTGCATGCCACGGGCGGCAACGTGCCCCTCACCATATAGTTGCGAATTGTCCACCTTCATGCCATGGCCGGCTCCAGTCAACATCGCCCGGGTGGATATGCCAGGGTTTGGAGGATTCGGTGTCGACTTCTGTCCACTTGCAGACTTCGACTTGCAGCTCAGGCTTTGGTGTGGAAGGATTGACGAAGTATCGGGAGCGACGCTTTCATCCATCGTTGAACCTGACACGCCGCTACTACCCCCACGTGCACAACATGGACGCATCCTGAGTCGGGCAACAGATTTCATCGCAACCTGCACTGTGCTGCGCTGCAGTTGCAGGCTGGTGTACGTAATGTTCATGTAAGAAGAGAGCCCTATTCCACTGAAATTTGTGCTTAGGGCTTAGGGCTCAGTCAGGGTCCATCATTTCAAGGATGGCTTCTTCGTGGCGAAGCTGAAGAAAACCTCCAACAAAGTGTCCGACCCCCGAAGACGAAGTGCCACGTGCTGCTGAGAGTTGTTACTATGCCGTCGCTGTCGAACAAGGCCGGAGCGTGCAAAGAAGGATCGCGCAAAGGTCGATGACAAAGAATGGGGTGAGGAGATGCTTGAGTCGCCACAACGTGGCCATGATGTTGCGATTGATTGAGGGGCGTGCTGTAAGATTCATCATGTTGGGGCTCTTGAACTCTTGTTGGGGGTACACTGCTGCAACCGTCGCATCATGTTGCATCGTGGAGACTGCGCGGAGCGACGTTTCAGGAACACTGGACACCAGCCTTCATGGAGTCCGTGGTAGATTTCGAGGCAACCAGCTGTCCCATTCATTGAACGTTCGTGTTCTGCTAACATCTGCAAACACACAAACCACCGCAGACCATGGCGGCAGCAGACAGGAAAACGAAAGCGGCGCAAGATATTTGAACGGCATCGATGGTAGGAAGGGCCTCATGGGCGAATCGGCGTGTGGTGAATGTATGTGACTGTGGTGACTGCAAGGAAGTCCGGGCTCCGGGATTGGGATGTTGGGAGGAGGAGGGACCAGACATGGGGACATGAGATCAGAAGAGTACAAACAAAAAGGTGAGTGTGAGGGCTCGGGGAAACATGCTCATGTACTTGTCAGATCAGTCAGGGCAAAGCGGACAGAGGGAGGTAGCAGTGAGTAGCAAGCTCTGTTCATGTCCATTCTGTGTACGCAGTGAGGGCTGAGGGATGGAGGATTAGAGTATGTTTGAATGACCTGGAAAAATCATTGGCTTTCACATACTCTTGTGGCACTGCTCTTTCCTTAATGCATGTTCCTGTCAGGTGCCCTCGTGGTTCCTGTCTTCTGTCGTGTTACTAGGTCCAACGGTTCCCGAATTGCTGAAAAGAAGCGAAGAAACTGCCGTTGAACTGTAGCTATTTTGGGTAAAGAAGCCCAAACGTATAGGCTACCCGTAGCCCTAGCTGTAGGGCCTACGGCTGGCTACGCGTAGGCCTGTCGGTAGAGTCTGCGGCAGCCTACGCGTAGGCCTATCCGTAGGGCTATAGGTAGGCTACCGGCAGGCCTACCCGTAGGCCTATGGGTAGGCTACCGGTAGGCCTACCCGTAGGCCTGCGGGTAGGCTGCCGGTAGGCCTATCCGTAGGCCTACGGGTAGGCTGCCAACAGGCCTACCCGTAGGCCTGCGGGTAGGCTACCGGCAGGCCTACCCGCAGCCCTACGGGTAGGCGACAGGCAGGCCTACCCGTAGGCCTACGGGTAGGCTACCAGTAGGCCTACCCGCAGGCCTACGGGTAGGCGACCGGCAGCCCTACCCGCAGGCTTATTCGTAGTCGAGGCATAGTAGTAGTGATGATCTCGGGGCTGGGGCTAGGGCACAAAAAGGAGGGCCTAAGAGTCCATGCTTGCGTGATTTCTTTTACGGATGCACATGATGTCTCGGGTCGAGAATTTAAGGAGCAGTTTGACGGGTGCTTTCATCGTTTCTCGAGTCCTGGGGCTCGGTCCAGGGCCTCGGGCGTAGGCCCTGGACCGAGCCCCAGGACTCGAGAAACGACGAAAGCACCCGTCAAACTACTCCCTAAATTCTCGACCCGAGACATCATGTGCATCCGTAAAAGAAATCACGCAGGCATGGACTCTTAGGCCCTCCTTTTTGTGCCCGAGCCCCAGCCCCGAGATCATCACTACTACTATGCCTCGACTACGTATAAGCCTGCGGGTAGGGCTGCCGGTCGCCTACCCGTAGGCCTGTGGGTAGGCCTACCGGTAGCCTACCCGTAGGCCTACGGGTAGGCCTGCCGGTAGCCTACCCGTAGGCCTACGGATAGGCCTACCGGCAGCCTGCCCGCAGGCCTACGGGTAGGCCTACCGGTAGCCTACCCATAGGCCTACGGGTAGGCCTGCCGGTAGCCTACCTATAGCCCTACGGATAGGCCTGCTTGTAGCCTATCCGTAGGCCTACGGGTAGGCCTACCGGTAGGCTATCCACAGCCCTACTGGTAGGCCTGTCAACAGGCGACTGGTAGGCCTACAGGGAGGCCTACCAGTAGCCCACTCGTAGGCCTACGGATAGGCCTATAGGCAGCCTCGCAAAGCCTCGACGTAGGCCTGTACATAGGCTACCCGTAGGCCTAGGGTAGACCTACCCATAGGTCCGACGTAGCCTTAGTTTCGGGCTTCTGTATGCTGTTTTGTTGACTGCCAGACGTTCCTTGGCCCTTGGCTTTCTTTGCAGCTCTCGGCACCGAAAGTATTCAGGCGACGAGCGGGCAAGCTGTCAGGTGCTGAATGCCAGTTTCTTTGTATTGTTGTTGTCAATCTACACTCATGGCGCCAGTTGTGCCTGTACTTGAGGCTGGAACCAAGAAGACCGCGCGTGAAAAGAAGAGGCAACATCGTCGAAGGCTCAGACTTCACGGGAGTTACAGCGCAGGTTTCTTTAGTCTCACTGCCCCACATAAATCCTGGGATATCCTGGGGTACCGTGTTTTTTTTGTGTTTTTTTCTGTTTTTGTTTTTTTTTTTCTGTTTTTTGGTCAAATTTAAGGCACGAAAGAAAGGAAGGAAGGCAGGAAGACAGGAAAAAAGAAAGAAAGACAGAAAGGAAGGAAGCAAGAGGAAGAAAAACACCAGGAAAGAAAGAAAGAAAGGCAGGAATAGAAAGAAAGACAGCAAGAAAGAAAGAAATAAAGGCAGGAATAGAAAGAAAGATAGAAAGTAATACAGAAATAAAGAAAGGCAGGAATAGAAAGAAAGACAGAAAAAATCGAGAAAGAAAGAAAGAAAGGCAGGACTAGAAAGAAAGACAGAAAGAAAGACAACAAATAAAGAAAGAGAGAAAGCAAAAAGGAAAGGCAGGAATGGAGGAAGAAAGAAAGGAATAAAGAAAAGCACAAGAAAGAAAGAGAGAAACAACGACAGCAAGACAGCAATAAAGAAATAAATAAAAGAAGGAAAGAGGAATAAAGGAAGAAAGAAAATGCAGCAAGAAAGAAAGAATACCATAAATAAAGAAATAAAGGAAGGAAGTGAGGAAGAAAGAAAGGAATAAAGAAAGAAAGAACGAGAGACATACATAAAGAGAGCAAGAAAGCAAGAAAGACAGAAAAAAACGAACGAAATACATAAAACAAAAAAAGAAAGAAAGAAAGAAAGGAATAAAGGAAGGATGGAAGGAGTTTAGGGTTCCGCTCGCTTGGCACGTTCTTGGTTGACCCTACAAACCCTACGCCTTAAACCATAAACCCTAGACCCCCAAAACCCGTATGTGGAACCTGTGAGGATACAACAAACGCCCTTCGGCGCAGCGGCCGGGCAGTAGTAAACCCGAGGGATTTAGGTTTGTAATTGGGGTTTAGGGTTTGAGTGTTTGAGGTAAGGGATTACGGCTCTAGCCGGGGTCCGGTGTTGTTTTTGCCTAGGTCTGGCTCTGTCTTTTCCCTTTTCTTAGGTCTGGCTTGGGCTCTGGTCTTCTGGTTCTCTGATCCTGCGATCCTGGTCAAATGGTCCTGCGTTCCCCTGGTCAGGAGAGACCGGTCCTGCGGTCCAGCTGTGCAAGCTTGCTTTAAGACATGCTAAGACCATATACCACTCCGGCCCTTCCAAGCCCATCATTGTTAGCATCTTGTTTGCAAATGCGGGGGCCTGCCCCCCCCCCCCCCCCAAACCCCCCCCCCCTTTTAAGCCTTGCAAGCTTGCTTCGAGACCATATGAAGCCTCATCATTGGGGGCGAGCATTGTGCTTGCAAATGGTTGGGGGGGGGGGGGGCTGCCCCTCCGCATTCCCCCCGCTTTTTTTAAAGCTGTGCAAGCGTGCTTTGAGGTTATACGAATCCCTTGCCTTGCCCCCCCCCCCTCCCCCCAAACCCCGCTTTTTTAAAAACCGTGCAAGCGTGCTGTTTGCTGTTAGATCAAACAAATCCCATTTGAAAACTATCGTGTTTACAAATGGGGGGGCTGCGCCCCCCCAACCCCTCGCTTTTTTCTAAGCCGCCCAAACGTGCTTCTAGGCCTTACGAATCCCTTGCAAAACTCATCTTGCGAGATTGTGTCTGCAAATGGGGTGGGGGGGGGGGAATTCCCGGTGTGCAAGCGTGCGTTTAGTTCAACGAATAGCTCCCAAAACTCATTTTGCGAACATCACTTTGCAAATGGGGGGGGAGTGGGGGCCCCAAACCCTCCCAGCTGTTGAAGGCGCGCAAGCTTGCTTTAAGACAATAAGAATCCCGTCCAAACCCATCATGCGAGCACCATGTTTGCAAATTGGGGGGGGGGGGGTTGCTACCCCAAGGGTTATTAGATGTGGTCAGGTTCCGGACATGCGGTACCGCTCGGGAGACTGCGGAAGCTGAAAACCAGCAAAATTCACCAACAAAAACCAGCAGAATACACACAAAAGAATTCCAACCAGAGGAGGAGGACAGGCAGAACCAGAGGGCATGTTCAGAAAACCAAAACAAAAGCAAGGGAAAACAAACAATCGCAAAACAAAACCAGAAAAATTGACAAAACAAATCCTCGCTCCTAAATCCTGTGTCTTGCGACTTCTGCCACACAACGCTATGGTTGCTTGAGATGCTTTTCTTGCAATAGGTCATGCGGGGTGTAACGAATCAACTCTTGTTCCCTTGGTTTCGCCCGGAAAACAAATTGTGAAAATTGTGCAAAACAATCTGGGCTCCTCTGCACGTGGCCTACAGAAGACTCAGAAGGCCCCGCTTTTAACGGGCACCTGGGGGCAAGTGCCGTTCTGGACACAGGGCTGGGAACACCAAGTGTTGGACACCAGGCGCTGACAAGAGCGTTGGCTCATGAGGCCCATGTGCCGGCAAGTGGGACACCGGGCCAACAGCGCCCAACCGAAGGTCCCTTTCAAAAGCTCCGTTCAGCCGGGCAGCGGTGATGAGACTGACTGGTCCTACAAGTCCTGTACTTGTAGGAAAAGATTTGGGGAAGCGCTTGTTTGATTTCGCATTGGAACTTTTGCATGGCACTTTTTGGCACTTTTTGTCGGCTCTGTCCCCCTTGGGTCGAAATTTCGAAATCTTGATGATGATGATGATAATGATGATGATGAAAATTGCTGTTTTTTTCAACGTTGTATCGGTCCTACAGGGTCTTACCGGGCCCTTTATGCGACTTCTGCGACCACAGATCTCCGCAGCTGATCTTTGCGATGGGACCTTCATGTCCGAGCATGTGAGAGGTCATGCGGTATCGAACTATACCAGCGAGGAGACTTTACGGGGCGCATGTCGAACACATAGGCTCGCAGAGGCGACAGGGGCGCCTGGTGAATGTTTTGCATTTTCTCTGATGCCGGGACAATTCATGTCAGATCCTTTGCTCAGCCTAGTGTCTGCCTGCCTTCCGGCGACGAGGTTCTACCAAGCCATACTTCTGCACTGTTGAGAATTTTAAACGGTGTGCTCCTGGAAGCTGGTCTACCCGTTCCCATGCACACCGAAAAGGTCAGGCCAGAATAGGCCAGAAATTGCTATGAAATAGTGCAAGGGCGCTGGCTTCGCTAGCGGTCCTTCTCTTGCCCTGCTGGCAGCAGACCTGAAGCGACCGAATCATCCAATCGTAGTCGAGCGAATGAACCCTGCGGACGACGGCAGCAGACGGTGATTCGCAGCTCGGCAGAGGAGTGAACTCGCTTCGGTCGGGCATCCAGCGGTGGACGGCACGCTGGCGTGCAGGTGATGATATTATCTTTCCCGCTGATATCAGTTTTGCACACGAGGATGCAGTCATGATAGAAGTGATGAGGGCAAAGGGCCAAACTCTGGCTTGTGCTCAGGACACCGCGTCTTCTGACTGCAGTGTAGGCGCATGTAGGTGCAGACCTGTAAGTGGCCGGAGTAACGGCTCTAGCCACCACAGTGGTCGTCGCCTTTGCCCTCACAAGTAGTTGACTAACTACTGTTGCCTTCACAAGTAATTTGTTAAGTAGCTTCGGCTTCGGCCTCTGCGGCGTGGTGTGCCATAACTGAGGGGCTCGAGCTCACAACCTCCACATGTCACAGCTTGAATCAACACAGGGGAATTCTCAGCGCTGTCGCTTGAAGATGTTCAGCTTGGTTCCTCGCAAGTCGACCCTTCCAAAACAACGTTAGCTACAGGGTTTGCTGTGACTGTGGCTGCTATGTGTCACATGTCTGCGTGACCGAAGTAACGGTAGTGAGGCCGTGGCACTAGAGCACCCATGACCAAGCAAGGCTTTGCGGGCGAAGTCTCCGCAATTACTTGACTGAAAGCGGCAGGAATGGCAGGATGGCTCCCACATCAGGTAGCCATAGGGTGGGGATGATCGAAAGAAATAACTCTAGCGCTATGCGACCCGCCTCGGCCGGGGCCTGCCCAGCGGCGAGGCAACCCACACCGGAGATCGCGGGCGCGAAGGTGCTGTTAGGATCTGTTAGGCGTCAGGGCGCTAAGAGAGTGTTAAATTGGTTTCGTGCAACCATCCTCTGGGGAAGTAGGAAGGCAGGGATGGCAGGGTGGAGGGCACAGGTGGGAGGGCGCAGAGGGATGAGTAGACAGGGTGGATGTTGATGACAGGAAAGGGATAAAAGTTTCGGCAGTATGGACGCAGAACGGAACGATGAACCTGGTGTCCGCCCCCTGGTGGCGCTCAAATTTGCCCCTGGCTCTGACGCACTGTCCGCTCCCGGACACCTGCCGGCTAGGGGGGGTAGGAAGGGAGGTGGATTGCCTGCTCCCCAGACACCTACTGCCCGAAGGCCTCGGCGGGTTTAAAGGCTCGCTCCACAACTGTAAGTTTTGCCTCGAAAGCCTCAGCTCAACAATCGCCATCCACCTAGGCACGCCCCCGAACAGGTAGAGAACATCCAAAGAATCCAAAACAGACGCAAATACTCATAGAAGATGCGTTGCGTTGAGTGAGTCGTCTGCTGCTCCGCAAAAAGCTTGCAAGGACAGAACCTCATGGATGCGCGTGGGTTCCAACAGAAGTACCCACCGCGCAGTGAGTCTGCAGGCATGGCCAATGAGGCCTGCGGTTTGAGGTGCTTGCATGTAGGAGACTTGGTGAGGGTCGTCGGACAGCATGGGCATGCCGGATATGTGGACTTGTTCAGGCGGAGGAGCCTCTCAGCAAGAAAAGCAAGCTCCGAGATAAACGAGAGAAGCGAACACAAGGGCAGCCCAACAACGAGTTGCTTGACGCTGCCAACGAGCAAAGACCACGAAGACCGGTTCCGGCCTCGTTCTGCGCATCTCCTTGCGCAAGCTGTTATTTGAACAGTCGGTGCCTGGATCACTGGACCCTCGAAATTTGTGTGTCCGGCCCTGGGTCGTCTGTCCGCTTGTATAGTTTCCTCTGAATACTTGGGGAGGCAGTGAAACCAAGATCCTGTGTCGTGCACGGCACCTCAACAAACAAAGCAACGTCGTGGGAACAGCTCTGCAAACATGGTATAAGCCTCTCGCAAGATTCCACGAGTGAGGTCGACCTGTATCCGATAGGTTCTGGGAGACATAGTGGCAACACCGTTGATGGTGCTCTTGATTTAGCAAGGGCTCGCAGCAAACTTGTGTGGGCTGTCCTGGGTGGAGTTTGCCAAATTGCACACGTCTTCAGGTGCTTCCGAACACAGCGAAGAAGGCAAAGAAGGTAGTTAAGAAAAAAAGCAACGCCAGGGACTCAAACACGTTCCTCCTGCCTCATCGATGTCCAGTGGCGTGATAGTGAAAAGGGCGTGCGTGATACTTTTGCATTGTGGACAACATGGCAGGGGATGGTGAAGCGGCAAAAGGCTGAGGCCGTTGGGATTGAGGATATGGGCCATAGGCCCTGATTAGGCAGAAGGCCAAGGTCCAGGCACTGAGTCACATGAGTTTAAACAAAGCAAACGCTTCAGCCAGTGAATGCTTGGCAGGCCAAAGAAAGTTGAGCCAGCGACCCGAGTGCCACGGCAGTATCACCAACAACGTCTCTCAGAGTCGTTCATTTCTGCCAAAAATGCCCAGAACAGTTGGTTGCTAAACTGCGAAAGCAGGAGCGACCTAACCTAAGCACCGATCCCCTAGCTAGCCTAAACGTCAGATAATGCACCTCTTATTGCCTTCACCAACACAATCCATCCCAAGCCCTAGATTCTGACGACATGCATCCCTAAGCCCCTAAACAGAGCGAGACTCTGCCCTCAGCGCTGACCCGGAGCGAAATCCAACTCCTTAAGCCTTAAGCCCACAAGAACCTGCACTTCATCGGCTTGATCTGTTACTGTAGGCTTTCACTTTGGGCGTTGGGCTGCGTGAGGTTTTGCTTTGGTTTTCACGTCTTGAGACATGCCTGGAATTAACCTCTGTCTGCATGCGGAGCCTTCTTTAGCTCAAGCTACATATAATGCGCTCACGATACTAAGCCTAAGTTCACATCAAAGTTTGGGCATACAAATTCTCTTGCATGATCCTGAGCATGATGATTTTTGTACGTAAAGGGTGGCCGGTCAAGCCTTTCATCTCTTTCTCGAGGCTCGAAGCTAAATTTGATTGGGGCGCTTTGAACGTTGAAACTACGTGAGGGGATTTAAAAAACCGAAGTTCGCGCAGCGGCATGCCTGCTTACGCATCGTTGAAAAGCGTGGCAGACTGCTTCTGATTCCCGCAAAATAACCTGTCAGCAAGCAACAGTCCGCGGCACTGATGGCTTCTCAACCAGAGCATGCGCGTCAGATTGAGGCCTCTGGTACCATGCTTCTATAAGATCTAGAAAAGGCGACATTTACGAAAAACACAAGCTTTGCACAGCGCACGTGCCTTGATCTCCGACAAGGCCCTGGCAACAGCCATCAATTGGGTTGGGTTGTGGCGACAGGCAGGAGATGAGTGAGTCGGGAGCTGCAAGCGTTTTCGAAGCATCTTCAAGCTCATTTCTCTGAGGCAGACTTCGAGACGCCGCTCCGGGGCGATGCTTTAGCGTGGGTCCACGTCTCGGAAGTCCTTGGAGCGAATTGTGGCTTTACGCATCTGTTCACCGCGTGATTGGAATGCCTGTATTTCAGGGAGGGCGTACTAGGCATACGTGTGGCACCAAGAAGAACCCCAAAACAGAACGCGTGAGGTAACGGGTTAGGGGAATGTAGGAAAGCGTGGCAGGCGCCGCGAAATCGTATTTGTTGAGCAACCCCAGCACATCCAGGATGCAAAATCGGGTCACGGTTTGTGACCAGTTTCTAGGCCAACTACGTGGACTCCAGGCAGTCAATCCGCTCAAGCTGTTCGAGGTTGTTGATGGTGCTTTTTTCCATGTTTCCAAAAGGTACAGCAGGGAGGCAAAGCAACTACACGGGCAACCCTTTTTGGCCCGACACGCGTCAATCAAACAGTCACGTTATGGCAACTTTGACCACAAGTAAAGACTTCAGTTGTGATTTGTAACCTATGTGTTGCCTAAAAGTTAGGTCGAACTTTAGGCTTTTTTATCGCAGTTTTTGTTACCTAAATCATTCCAGCAACCTAAATTCTCAGGCACCAGACACACGTATTTTTACGGAAAGTTTGGCCGGTTCTACGGCACTGGAGATGACATTCGAAATTGCAGAAAAAAGGAGTTAACGTTAGACTAAGCAGCCGAGGGAATGTACAGCATGCGTTCAGCTTGGCAAGCTTAAGGCGCACGATGGTGCACGTGTATCATCTCACACGCCGTCTCTTACCAGTTTGGTTGAAAGAACTCTGGCCGTCTCTTACCAAGAGTGGCAAGGGTTTCTTGCCCTACCCAGCCCACCCTGACTGATCGGCCCATCAGCTGCTCCTTTCCAGGATTTAGGGGCTTCGCAGTTGAGCGCCTATCCTAAACCTCAGCGAACTCATTTGCTCTGCCGTTTCGTCCTTAGCATCTGCTCCTAGTACCGTGCATATCTCTGTGCGCATATGTCAACTTGTTTTCCTCCACTTCGCATGTATTCTCGCAGAATCTACGAGCACATAAGACGTAGCTTTGGAAACGTAGCCTGGTGACGGGTCTAATGTTCTCCCGGAGCATGCTCTCGGGTCACCATCCCCTGGTGAGCCTCACAAGGCCCCAGACTCAACAGCCGTGTAAACCAGCAGCATGCGAATCCTTTGGAGAAACCGTATGACTTCCTTGAAAAAGCAGGGGGTCTGTTGCGCCCGTGGAATTAGAGGTTACCCGTTAAACGGGTAGAGGAAGCAATGATCCTTTTGAAAATGCAGAGGTCCCGTCCCCTCCCTCCCCCCAGCCAAAGAAAAGGGAGCAAAAATGTAGTTAGTTCCACTCGTTTGCCTTGAAAGAGCAACTTCTCTTGTCAGACCAGCGATGAAGTGCGACACTACGCAACGAGTGGAGGCACAGAACTGCCACCACACCAGGCGCGGCTGGGACCATACATTCCGTTTAACCCATGCATTGATTGCCTCTTTTTCTCATCATCTTGCTCTGATGAAAGCTCCATGACAAATAATTTCAGTCGTCCAGAACCACGAATACAACAAATAACGATTGTGTGCAGCGCTTGTCTGCCGATGTCAATAGTGTAGATCCGGATCTCCGAGCATGCCAGCGGGTTTTGGCCGGTGCCCACAGAAAGTCAGCATCTTGCAGCTTACGACCAGGATGTTCATGGCACCTTGCTTCGTGTTGCGTTCTTTCTCCAGTGCTCCATGGCGGCAGGTGGACCAAGAGGATTCGCCATGCCCATTCACAGGAGCTGGTGCATGCTGGAAGTCCGATGTGTTGGAGCCTCGGGTGCCTCATCAACTTCGACCACGTGTTTCTTGCCCACAATCAGCAGGCCGACTCCTTGGTGGGTTGATGCTCAGCCTTTTCCTCAGATGCGTGTTCCCCGTCAGACTTCATGATTCGGACTTTGGCACGTTTCGGCATGATTCAATGGATGCAGGTCACACAGCGAAGGTCCCGCGGATGACGAGTCGATCCCACGCAAGCTAGAAGGATGGTGGCGGGTGATGACATTCCATCGAGATGCTGACATGGAGGCAGCCTTGCAGCGATGCATGTGAGCTCTTGTGTGCACATTGCGGACTCTGAGGGTTGTCTCATGTTGACTGCAGGTGGGTCAGGACTTGGATGTTGGTGAGCTTTGCTTCGTGGAGAAGCTGTGGACAGATCGCATTCGCATCTTCAAGGCGACCCGCGAGACAGATGTGACTGATTACTAGTCACACCCGACTCATCACAAAGATGCATCGCTGTTGGAGGCTGGACACAAAGGACCTTTGGGCGAGATTCCACTATCGCGCGCGCGATTCTCTCTCCTGGCTTTAAGTGACATCTCCAAAGGCCACCGGATGGCAAACTGATGACGTTTCTGCCCGAGGTCTGCGATTTGCAGCTCACAGCGATGGCCGGCAAGTCTGCTGGATCCAGGCACAAAGTTCAAAGTTCAGGAAGTTTCGAGCCCTGCAGCAACAGCACGGACATCTCGAAACTCGTGGCAGTATGTGCAGCCATTTGAGATATGGGGTGGGGAAGGTATGCTTCCATGAGTTTCCAAGTTCCCGCACGAAATGCACTCATGACACCGCAAGCGTTGAGGAGCCATGAGCGGAGGATTGGTGTGAGAGGAATCAACAAACTTACGGAGAGCAGCTGGCGACTTCAAGCTGCCGTGCTGACCCAACCTGAGTCCGTAGTGTAGCGACGGAGTGATTCAGTACGATCGACGGCGAGACCAACAAGGAGTTGCCACTTTTTGGCTTTGCAGGCCATGGCAAGCCCTTTTGAAAAGGCCCCTAGTGAGGACGCGGCCCGAAAATGCGGGAATCCAAGGGTCCCTAGTAGCCTTAGTGTACGTTTTGGGACGGTGTGGGGCCGGAGACTCCAAGACGCACGGGTACGCACGGGCTCAGCCTTGGCAAGGCTAGATGACAAAGCGCAAGTTCTTTAAATCGGCGCAGGATGCAAAAGGCTGCAAAAGGCAGAGGATGGGAAAATATGCGAGAACTGCTTGCAGGTGGGACCTCTTGCGCGACGTGGGAGAGGGAGGCCCTGAAGCTGATCTAGCAGACGTGCATCCGCGTTTTATGCGACAGGACTTGAGGAGAACTTGAGGACGTCTGGTTTTTGTTCACATGTTTTCACATGGCATCAAATTGCACCAGGTGATGATCCCGACGATATCCAGGTGGGCCAAAAAAGACAGCTCCTTGGTGGAGAGTGCCCCAATGTGCACTCTTCCCCTTGACGCAACTCGGAGTGCTTTACAGTTCTGTTTCTTTACAATGCTTTAGAATTCGTGTCACTTCTGGAGAGCACTAAGAGAGCACTGAGAGAGGAGTTCGCAGGTACGGCTCCTTGAAGCTGAAGGGCATCGAGTGCGAAGTGCTGAACTACGTGGAGTGGCTGGACAGGCCGCTTGGAGTGGAGGGGCTAGCATGATTTATGACAAATGCTCGCGAAGCTCTACTACGACTTTGGCAAAGAGCGCGTTGATGCTAGACCCAGGCCTGACCTCACTCTCAGGCTTGCCAGAATCTTGAAATCGAGAGTAATTATTGCATGCTGTCACGTACGGCAACTTATTATATACATTCGCGATGCTCTTGTCGAGCATAGCGACATAACGAAAAGAAACACAGCCAAAGCGATGACGGGCGATCGATGGCTGAATCGCTGTTGGGGAATTTCGTTTGTAGGCGAATCTGTACCGTGGAGGGGTCACGAGGGTTTTCGCGCCATGGAATGCAAAGGCATATTGTCTTGCGGCTGCACAGTCCAAGCTCAAATCTGAACAGCTGTCGCTGCAGTCCAGGTGGACGGTTGAAATTCCTGTCAAGGATCAGAAAGGCAAGAATCTTGTCATCGCCACCTGCCTCAGTTTTTTCGTTTGACTAGCCATGGACTTGAAACTGTTCTGCTCTCAGGCGGTGATTCCTGCCCAGCTACGACACCCAAAGCTCCCCCGAGATCCGAAAAGGAATGCCAAGGTGCCGCCCGAAACACCCAGCACCGTGTTTTGCAGTTTGCACAGCACCCAGCATACCAAGCAATGCGAGAAGTCTTGCCAGATGCTTTTGCCAAGTTTAGGCAAAATTCTGTGAGCAGGTGAACTTGGGATTGGCCTTGCGTTCACGGGCCCTGGAGCTGCATTGGAAAGAGGCGCCGATCCAAACCAGTCGTGTTAGTCGAGCATCCAGAATGCGCTGTGTCGGGGAGATACCTAGACAGGCCGATGTCAGTTAACAGCACAAGAACAACCGCAGCAGATCGCAGCAGTGCAGGAAGGCAACTCCTCGTGAACAGAAGAAGTGGCATGGCAGGCTTCAGGGCTTCGAGACACAAGACTCCCACAAACGACTATGGTAGTTGCGACAAACCTTGGGAGGACATTTGCATGATGAAGGCTCAAGAAAAGCCCCTGCAAAGAGTTTGAGTGGTACTGACGGCTCGCCCGAAACAATCCCCTGTAAAGCGACGGGGAGCACCAAAAAACGAACCTCACCTATTGCGCAGCCAAGGCCCGACAACTGGAATTTTGACAGTCGCTCGTATGGACGCGTCGATGAACAGACGATTTCTTCGAAGTAGAAGCACTGACAGTCAAAGAAACCAAGACCTTGGGGCTAGCACGGTGAAAGGGGGCGCAAGGGCAAGCGCAACCAATCTCTACAGACTTATAGGCCTGGCAAAATAGTTTGGTTTACAGCATTGACGTTGAAGCGCACCTAGGAGCTAGCTGGTTGCTTTGCGAAGGGCAAGTGGGATGGCAGGGCATAATCAGGGGAATCTGGTCCAGAGTGACAACCCGTAAACGGGCTGCAGCAACAGATGACAGCAGAACCAGTTGTTTAGTTGCCTTCGTTCTTCTATTTGAGTTGTGCTAAGCCGCATGGATTGCAACACCGAATTGACATTGTCCCAGGCCAAAAATTGAAAAGGCCTTGACAAATGTTGACAAACTGAGCGATTGTTAATGTGACTGGCTTCGGCGCAGCCATACCAAGCCTACACTTGAAGTAGGGCATGTGGGGCAGTATGGGAAAATTATGCAAGTGATATTCGGGCTCGCAGGATGGGGTCTGGGGGGCTGGTGGAAGCAAAGGGCTCCTGGAAATGTTTCTCTCGAAGGTTTATCTTTGCAGCTGAACTGGAATTTTGTGAGGGATGGCATGGTGGAACTTAGTGATGCCTGGTGACTACTCTGTGTACTATGGATGCTCTTCTGTGCATTCAATGCAGACAGGGTATGTACTACGTAGAAGTAGTACATGGAATCCACGTGAATCCACCAAATGCTCCACAGGCAGAAGGTGATGCCGCAACGACCGGCGGAAGCCACAGTCCGACCCTGAAAGGATCTCTCCTGATGAGGATTCGCATAGTCGCAGAGTGCCATCGCTTGCTGCCATGTTCTTGCCGCTGTACAGGGGGCCCAGTCACAACTCATGGCTCAGTTTTGGAAGCACCTGTCCGAAATTGAAATGCATCAACCCAACCAGTCTTGACCAAAGGAGCTTTGCTTGGTTGAAGCAAGATGAAGCGGGGTGGCTTTGCCCAAGTGAACGCTGGCATGTACTGCGCTGTTTTTTATGATAGCCCGAGCAGGCTTAGCACAGCTTTCGCTTGTTTACGGTGTGTTGCCCACGCTTTGTCTTGAATTTTGCGCCATTGGGGTACGATCGTTCCTCTGGCATTGGCTGTTTGGCATTGATACGACGAGTACGCTTTGTTGCTCCCCTTTTTCTGAATGTGAGCGATCGGTGCATCCGAATGTGCATGAACCTATGTATGCTGGGATGCGAGACAGTGGTGGCCGTTAAGATTACCGAAGCCTTCTCCGAGTTGAGGGCTTTACTTCGTTAGGGATTCGGAGTGCAAGGCTTCAGGGACTGAAGAAACCCTTTTCAGGCAGACATGCTGGACACAGTTTTTGCATGCAAGTGGTACAACCGGATTACATGCATGGAGGACTTGTTCTGAGTTCTCAGACAGCCAGAGGAATGTGTGCTCGTTGAATCTCGTTGATACTCATAGCCGCTCTCTCTCTCTCCCTCTCGCCTTTCCCTTTCTCTCTCTCTCTCTCTCCCCCTCTCTCTCTCTCCCTCCCTCTCTTTTTTTTTCTCTCTCTCTCTCTCTCTCTCTCCTAAATCTGGTGGCATGGCTGTGCCGCGGCCGCGGTTTTTCCCGACCCTCGGTGTGGGGTTGTTATATTCTAAATTCAACTCTTCTCCTCGCCCGTTCTCCTCGCCGGTCTACTCCTCGCTCATCCCTGGAGGGCCGAACCCGAGAGTGTCCCTGGAGTCCCCAATCCCAGAGTGTTGCTGGAGTGCCCAACCCCAGAGTGTCCTTGCTGGAGTGCCCAACCCCAGAGTGTCCCTGGTGTGCCCAACCACAAAGTATCTCTGCCCAGAGAGGGTGGAAAAGGATGTTCGAAGTAAAACAACTTTTTGTCTTGGACTGTACAGTGTACAGCTATTTGGAACTTATTGGGCTCTTGATACTCGTTGCTTGATAGCAAGTCCGGAAAAGGTTCGGCGGTTATCCGCGTGGAGCCGACTTTTGGTGTTTGCATCCTGCATAGCCCGCCTTTGTTCCAATCACCAGTCATGCAGGAAGACAGCGTTTCCGCTCTGCACATGAGGCAGTACCAAATTTCAGCTGCAGCTTCGATACGTGAGTGCTGACCTCTGCTGCGCCATCGTAGGCATGGCCTGCTTTTTGTTCAACGTGTTTTGCAAGGTCGCGTCAGACCCGGCGGTCGAATATGGACCTCTGCAGCTGACTCAATGTACCAATACATTGAGGCATCCGCCATCCATCCTGCTGCAACATGTCGACAAGAACAATCAATGCTTGGCGGTGGCCTGGCAGGTTCGTTATGTGGCGTCTGGGGACTACGGCTTGGTCTTCAGGGTCCTGCGAATGGTGGATTCTTCAAAGGTGCGTGATGGCTGTGCGCGACGAAGTTTCATTGATGACGTCACCAGGCCACCCATTTGGAGGAGGAAGATCCGTACGTGGTGCTGGACGTTCCACGAGGATCTGATCGCATGGTAATAGCCAAAGCTTATCGGAGGTGCCAGCAAGTGCCCTTGCAGCGACTTCCACTTGTCCCTAGCCAACTTTATGTGACGGACAGGCTTGCAAGACGATGGCATCCCGACAAAGTAAAGGAAGAGGATCACGACCAGGTACATCGAAGTTAATTTAACCGTACGTTCATCACAGGTTCATGGTATCATCCTGAACGCACCGAAAATTTTCTGAAGTTGTTAATGTGCGACGGGAGACCGAAGCAAGGCTTGCAGTCAGCATGCAATTGAGGCAGTCATGGAGTTCAGAAGAATCCACCAAGCCTATGAAAACCTCGTGGCAGACCCAGAACGCAGCGCCCCACTTAGTTGGATGATGAATGGCGTGTCTTTTGCATTGGTTTGCCAGTGGTCGTGAGTTGCGGCAGTACATGCACAGACTTTCAGCTTGTGCAGCCAGCCAAGCAGTTGCTGATCTACAAAAGCTGATGATCGAAAGGTCAGTTGGGGTCTCCGGAAGTTCGAGGAAAAATCTTGCAACGACCTTCATCAGCCGTGTAAGCTTTTCGTAGAGGGGGCATAAGTCGGCTTAAAAGTAGGACAAGGACGGGGACGGGTTGTCCCGGGGCATCCTACAGAACTGTCCAAAGACTGGATGACAAAAGCACCAGTCGCCTTGCCAAGTGCCCGCTGTCGGTCAGAGAACGCAAGCGAAAACAGTGTGGAACAGATTTTAATGTGGTTTGTCACAATGGGTCTTCGGGTGGCTTTGGGTGTGGTGGGGAATTAGTGGGAGTCTGAGACAATCCCGGCCTCGTGGCCTGAGCGGATTCACCAGGTCCTTCTTTGGCCCTACTTAGAGGGCAGTTCATTGGGGTCCTTTGAGCTCAGCTATTCCACTCGTGAAGCGAAAATCCTCCGCGGAAGCGGGCACGGAAGCAGGACTGCCGTGCGATCCGATTTAGTGCCAGAAAGTTTGTGGAAGCTCCGCGGGCGAAGGATTGTTATTTCCATCGGAAAACAGCATTTTACGGCAAAGATTCTTGTAAGGACGGGACCCTCGATAAGAGAACTTCCTACGTGGCAAATTAGTTGTACGACATGCTGACTATGATGCTTATACGAACCTTTTGCACTGAACGAATGCTTTGCGAGGCTCAGACTTGATGATCCTGAAGCAGCTTGGGCAGAGTTGAACTGAGTGCCATACTGTGAAAGCCTTGTGCATGTTGTTTCTCCTTTTTCGCGTCCACAGTTTTTGTTGGGCTTAAAGAGTGATGTTGTGTGTCAGTAAAACGTGCCGGCATCCGATTCGTCCGAGTTCATCCCCTCCTGCCAGGATGCAGCATCCTGTGCCTGCAAAAAAGTGCTGTCCTCAATAACTCAAGCGAAAGCACTAGAAGGGCCACCATAGCAGGCCATAACATGTGCACAAACGTGTTGAGCGCAGGAAGCGGATAACAGTTCCAATGGCGTTTCAGACGGAGGCGGACACAGATATCATCAGATATCATCATCCTGAGCTGCACACCCTGTTGAGAGGCCAAGTGCTTAAGTTTGGTCTCCCAGCTGTCCTGATCTTGGCATGAAAGTTGGATACCACTTGTGTGTGCAGCGAGCACGGCAAGTCAGTACGTTCCGGCCTGACCATTCTTGAGGAGACTTCCAAATGTTCAGAAGCTCGTGGAGGTGGGACCTGACAACGAGCGCTGGCCTTACCGAGCATGCTCACATGTTGCATCATGTTGCCCACTAGTCAGTGCGTAGCCCCTGAGGTTCATTGTAAGCTGGCCATACATCCCCGAAGCGTTGATCCCCAACAACCAGTGTGACGGTGTGAGCCAGGCACTGCCAAGACTCGTAGTGAATCGTGATGAAGCGTTGAAGTTTATGTCCAAGCTTTTGCAAGTAAACGCATGCCACATACTCCCCAGTTGAGCTTCTCTTGTCACAAACAAACACTAGCTCCTTGGACATCGTGCATCATGTACTTGTAAACACTTGCCCGCGCTGCTTCGGCAGACGGGCCGGCCCACGCCTGCGGGTGTGGGGGTTCAGGAAGTTCAGGAAGTTCAGGGGGTTGAGGAGGGTCCAGGGGGTTTTGAGGGAATTCAGGGTTCCGGACGTCCTAAAAGAGTGTCCAGTTTCAGGAGGTCCCAGGGGAGTCCTACAGGGGTCCCAGGGCGGGTTCCAAGGAAGGTTTCAGGGGTGTCATGGGCAGGTTTTCGCGGTTTCTGGCATTTTTTAGGCGCCCCCACCGACAAGCAGGACCCCCCACACCATCGGTTGGCCAAGCGATCTGCTGGGGTTTTGTAGGGCTTGGGGGGTGGATGGGGGGAAGGGTCTGCTTGTTCTGGAATTTCTGGACGCTTCTCGCCGGAGGCCGAGGCGAATTAGGGACCGGACTGCCATGTACACTGGCTGAATCACAGTTTCAACCAGGCACAAAAATTTACGCGCAAGAATGACGCATGGCCTCAGGCGGCGTTGTCTTTGTAATTGTTGTACTGCTCAGACTCATGTCGAGTCAAGCGGAGTTGACAACCAATTCACGTCAACGGCTGAAATGGCAGATGCCTTCTCTCCTGCGGCTAAGATTCATCAGATTATATACTACATCTTGAAAGTTCAGAACTGCAAGCACTTCAAGAGATGCCTTCCCCATAAGGTGACATTCTAAGATGCGTTCTTACTTGTTTGACAGACTCTTTCAGTGGGTGCCTGCCTGGAGATATCTCGAACCCGCACACTCCGCTCTGCCAGGGATACAGTGCGGTTACAGTATGTCCTACGAAAGCAGTTGCATGCTTTCGATTTCACGAAGATATCTTGAGCAAACTACCCTGTCTGTCGAAAAGGCTTCTCCCTCCGGCACAGGACCCCTTCTTTGCCTAAAGAAAGTGCCTCCAGTTCCGTCCATGCTAGGTCCCAGTAGGCATGTTGAGCACATGATGTGTGTTTTTTTGGGCTCAAGTGCCAAAGGATCTGTTCGGGATGTGCTCGCAGAGAATGAATGTTTCACATCTGGCCTACAACGGCACATTGGGAAAAACGCACTGGCCCGGCCTTGCCGGCAGAGCGATAGGATGGGCACATTCGCAAACTCTGATTGCGAGAGCCACTCCCGAGCACGACGCAGTTAAGCTTCAGCTGTCTCAAGCGCGCATCAGCCCACCATAGATACCATAGATTCTCCAGTTTCAGAAGTCGCTCAGCAAAATTTCCACCACTTTAGCCATCCACTTTTGCCATCTCGAGGAAGGGTGACACAAGAACAAAAGCATTCCAAGTTGGGTTTGAGGACGTGGCTGGGTTCCCCTCCAAACGGAACGGCATAAGATACCTGCGCACCCATTTAACCCCGGCGTGTGCGCTTCGAGCCACCATCTAGCCTACAGCAGCTCGAAGGGGATCGAGGGGGGCGATGGGATGCCGGTGAGACATGCAGCAGGGTTGGGATGGCTTGTTCTGTGGGCCTGGGATTGATTGCGAGGGGACCAGCTCCAGGAGGTGACCTGCCTTTTTGCCCGATAAGGAAGGTGTTTAGTCCACTGTGCGGATCATCCCATAAGGGGATCGTCGAACAAGGCACTGTGTTTTGTTGGCCCCTCACCCCTCACATATGGCCAGTTTCCATGTGGCATGTCAGCGCGTTTTTCGCTCACGAGCTGCGGTCGCTGCCACTTCTGTGGCAGGTGGACAGAGTGGATCTGGTCCGGAAAGGATGGTCGTGGCCTCAATAAGGCATGATGGTAGCACTTTGCAACATTTGTAAGCACTTTGCCTGTGATGCTTGAAAGTGTCGGCAAGCTTGGGCTTTGCGGCTTCGTCTAAACCACTTGGCACGTTGAAGATTTAGGGCCCAGCACTTGCTTGTTCTTTCTTTTAAGGCCGCTAATGACGCCAAACAGCATGCTAGCTCAGATTTTGTAAAGCGATAAGGAAGAAGCACCGACAACAGTGACATGGACACACACACTCTAGAAGCGGCAGGAGACCGGTGCGAGGGCATTTATTCCTTAGCCCGGAGTTCTACCTGATGTCGCGCGGCTTTCGTGAAATATATACTTGTACCACAGGTCTGACTTCTCCAGATCTCGCCAATCAGTGGAAACCTTAATATGACTTCCGCCGCATGCCAAAGTGTGGAGCAGATCTAGTGCGGCACTGTTGAACACAACTCTCAACATGCTTGCGCTGATTGGGACTGAGGCACAGAAGATTGTTCAGATGATGGTGGCGTTGATTAGGACTCCAGTTTCCTTCCGCTTGGTCGAATGCATTCAGTTCGTTGTAGTACCACGGTGACGGCGGTCGGTCCGCCTGCAAGGTCCCGCAAGTTCCAGTGTTCTTGCAGGCATGACGTGATGATCGTGGACCCCATTCAGAACATAATCATTGATCGAGAGAGTGGCGAGCCTTTAATGATCGACTTCGGACGAGGCCGGTGTATTCGCAAACATTGATTTGCGATTCGAGGGACGTCCATGGAGGCTGAGACTGTTGCATGTGTCAGCCGCAGGAGAAACGGCTGGCTCCATATACACAACACGGATCAAAACTTTCATGAAGAAGGTATTGCAGTTCGGTGCCCGGCCTGATGGCAAAGTTCACGCTCGAGCTGGCTGCAATCCGAGGCTGCTGGCAAGGAGTGTTTCCAAAGCCAGCTACGACGTCGTTGGGCGCTCATGACTTGCAACAATTTGCAGTCGTGTGGCATGTGTGGCAGTGTAGCGCTGGAATCCTACAGAGCGGGTTCCATGTCTGAAGGCTGCTCGCTACATCAGAAGCCTTGAAGATACACTCTTTCAATGCCTCTCGGTCTGGACTCAGAGCAAAGGCGCAGCCATGAAGACATCGATTTCTCAGGCCTGGAGCGCTGGCAGGATGAACGTACTCGTGATCAAAAGAAGGTACAATCCTGCTGCCATGCTGTCAGCTATCACATGCGATCGCAAGCTCTGGAGTTGAGGCCTTGATTCCTCTTGAAACACAAACGACCACTTCGCAGGGAATAATGTAAACAAGGTAACGCTCTCATCTTCCTTGTAGCTGCATTTGCTTTCAGGGAGTACAGTGGAAATCGGATACCGCTGCTTCCTACGAAAATGATGGGCGGGTAAAGTGATTGCGAAATACCACAAGTGTTATCATTCCATCTCCCAGACATGATTGGAAGGAGCCACGTTCCAATGGTTGCCATGCTGTTTAGGGGTCCCCAAGGAAATTTTTGCAACGGCGGAGGTGTAAGCGAGACATGGTCATCGGATGCTTGCAACACCCCTTGACTGCCGTTGGGACAAGTATGTTGCATGTCAGTTGCACCTTGAAGCTACTGTACACCCTTGCCCGAGTCTCACAGTGCCAACATTACCTCCCCACTCCTTGCCCCAGAATGTTCAGTTCCAGCTCGAACGCAAGCGTGCACATCAGAAGGCGCCAGAAGGAAGGAAGGCGCCAGAAGGAAGGAGTGGAGGGACCAATGCTAAGTAAGCAGTCTCTTCGTTGCCACTCGGTGAGTATCAGAGGTCTCGAGCAGGGACATGCAAGTTGCAAAACTCAGGTCTTTCCAGGTGGCCCTACAGTATTGTTTGGTTCCTGGTCGCAAACGATTCCTGGCAGTGTCGTGTTCCCCCCCCCCCCCCCGGAATCATGCTTAATAAGTCATAACATGCCATGACCGGCCATTGCACTGTGTCGCACTGTTTCAGGCCTTGGCATTGGCGACGTCAACCACGAAGTGGCAAGAGGGCATTGACTGCTGCCGCGAGCTGCTGCCTCAAAGGGTCATGAGCTCATATGAGCTCTCTTGAAGTAACTTGTGTGGATGTGATGACTCTGTCAAGTGAAAGTGATCAATTCATAGCAGAAAGGCAATGTAGCTCCAACTCACAGTCAGGCCTTCAGCATGTATGACACTGGCAGGGTACAGGGGTGTCTGCGTTTGTTTGTGGGCCGGGTGCATCAGTCTGCAGTGCGTGCGTGTGTGTGTGTGCAAAGCAGGGACTGTAGCCCAAGTTTCTTACAAGTCAACAAGGGACCCTGTGTGTCAGTTTCGTGGTGAGTGTGTGAGTGTGTGTGTGTGCAACTAACTGTGTGCCAGCAATGCTCTTGGCAGATGCGTTCTTGGACTTGCTGCCTAACATGTCCGGCCATCCTACTTGTATATAGTAGAGCCATTATGCCTTAAGCCCTGAAGGCTTGCCGGGCTTAGCGCATATTGTTTTTGGGAAATGGTTCAAGTTGGGCCTTGAGCGGTGTTTGGCAAGCCAGGCTTGCGCTCGGAGCAATCCTTTTGATGAATGCTAAGCGATGTCAAGTTACGTTTCCCTTCAAGTCCACTGCATTCCTGCAAGCGCTGAAATTCTGCGGTGCAGCCCCATTGCCTCGGTTTTGCCTAAGGATCTGGCACAGTGACGATGAGAACCCCTTCCGAAAAATGTTCAAAGACCACAAGGACTTCGTGTTCTGACATGGCTACGATAAGAAAGTTGAAACGGCAACTGGATGCTTGACGGCCACATTGCTGCGGATGTAGGATGTTCTTCCAGAAGATCGTGTACTCCGTGAGGTTTGACATCCAATGTCGAGGGAGCGAGGGCACCAGTTTTACAATGCACAGTCTGCCGAGGCATGTCCAGCTGCTGTTGATTCCGAGCCCGACAGTGGTGAAGAGAAACAGGACTGTCCGAGCTTGCGACATTCCAGATCTGCAGCTATTCATTGCGTGGCCTCACAGGATGAAGATGCCGATGATCCAGAAGGCACTCTGTACTGGCGTGCTCAAGAGTATCCAGGCTGCGGGCACCTCGTCTACTTAGCTGGCGATTGACCAGGTCTCTGTGACGCTGACATCAGCACACTCACACCGGCCCTCATCTCAGACCTTTGCTAGCTGATAAAATCTTGTAGGTGTCTCGCCTGCCTTTGCCGGACCAGGTTCAGCGGTTGCTGCGCGCCAAGCGCAAGAAGAGCCGAAGATTATCTAGACGGCCGGAGAAGCCAAACGCATCGTACTTGGTCAGACTTAATTTCCCGAATATCCTGGTCCTTCCTCGATGTGGCCAACATACGTAGGCCAGCATGATCATGCATGATTCTGCATGATCCGTGAATTCAGGATCCTTGGATCCTTGTTTGACTTCTGGTCTGTGCCCAGGTTCGAATTCACCTGAAGGAAACGCTCCCGGATGGAACGTTGGGACTAGGTCACAATGGCCATGGCAGCTGGTGAGGATGTCATGAGTGGTTGCGTCAGGGCTGGACGATGCTGATGAAGACATCGGTGGTCAGCCCTTCCATCCTTGCACCATCTAGTGTTAACTAAGTAGTTATTCAGTAGTGCTGCGCTGACAGGCTTGGTGGTCGTCCGCATCTCAGACGCAGCCTTTCAGGCATTTTGTATGGACGCGGCGCGCATGGCCAGCACCATAATAAAGCTTGCAGTGAATCTTCATGCGTGCTTTCATTGTGGACATGCTGCGTTGCAAGGTGTCCGTAGAACAACAAAGCGAAAAAGCTGGCTGGCAACTAGGTCGGAGGGCGCAAAGCCGGGTGACGTCAAAGCACCCACGCGGATGCTGGGAACACGGCTTTGAAGGTGACCGCATCATCGAGTTGAACGGACTGCAGATTGACGAATGGGATGATTTCAAATCTGCCTGGACAACCGCCAAGCAGCCTGCAACTTTGGACATCATGGAGGGTTTGCAAGTCGACACTGTTTGTTCACGACATCTGGATCATTTCTGGTTTTGAAGATACGGTGTGGCATGAGGCTTTTGACCATCTTGCAGAATCCTTGTCCCTAAGGTTCAGCACCACCGGAGTCGTTTTCGGAGTTGTGCGCGCTGGAATGCCAGCCCTGGACGAGCCGAATGCAGAAGCAAGGCAGTCGAAGAGCAGTATGAGAACACCTTGCAAACAAAGAATGTACCAATACGACCGTGAGGTGCTGGCACTGCAATGTGAAGGGCACACACTTGCCCGGGGCTTTTGTCGTTCATGCCATCAGTCAGCCAGCAACTCATGCTCTGTATCGAGCACCTGGTGTTGATGACATGGAGAGGCTTCGATGTTCAAATTGGGCCTGGTCCAAGTCTAAGGAGCAAGACGCTTGGAGCTCAGCAGCCGCATTGAATTTTGTGGCGCCATCGTGTCCTAGTAGATTCGTTGCCTTCTGCAGGCTTCAAGCGACATGGTGTTGTCAGAGGTAGTGTTCTGCGGTTCTGGCACTGTGTGCTTCCTGATCCTCTAGAAAGGTTTCATCACTGAATATAGCATCGCTTTGGGTTGATCTGGTTGACCAGTTGGCGGCCGGCCGGACAGTCTCCACGCCCATCTGTAAACGTCTCATTCCATTTGGTTGCATTCGCTTGGTTGCAGTTCAAAGTCGGGCGAAGGCCCTTTCCGAGCTTGATAATGGACATTGGCACTCCATATCGGGCTCTCATCGGTACTCGTAAACGACGTGCACTTGAGTCTGAGGTGTTTTTCTGTGGCAGGGACTGCCAGAGGCAAGCCTGGCGGGATGCGAAAAGCAAGGCTGGACATGGGGAGATTTACCTGCAGAGTGGGCGTCCTTGTCTTGAGGCTCAATGAGCAGTGCGAGTTGCAGTTAAGAGTGTGCTATGCAGGCGTGAAGCATCTGCCATCGTCTCGACTGGCGTGTGGGCTGGGCAATAAAGTCCGCACGACAGACGGAGTGTTCGGCTCGAGGCTTCAGGTTCATAGAACTTGCACAGGGACTTGAGACAAATAAGTTGTCTGTTTTTGGGACATTGTCACCGTCGTCGTTGTGGTCATTGTGGTTGCGGTCGCTGTTGTGGTTGCTGATGCATGCTTTTGGCTGCTGCTGCTGCTGCTGCTGCTGCTGCTGCTGCAGCAGCTGCTGCTGCAGTATCATTGTTATTGTTCTTCTTGCTCTGGTTCTGGATGTCCTTGTTTTGTCACAGCTACTGTAAGTATTCTTGCGTTTTTCTTGTTGTGGTTGCTGTGGTTGGTTGCTGTGCTGTTGGTGTTGTGGCTGTTGCTGCTGTTGCTGCTGTTGGCACTGTTGTTGCTGTTGTTCGGCTTCGGAGGGTTTATTTAGGTTTTGTGCGGTTTGTGGTTCTCGGGCTTATGAAAGTTAAGTACGGGTTTAGAGCATTTTGGGGAATCAGGGCTTCGGAAGGCGGGCTGGGTGTTCTTTTTACAGTGTTGTTCAATTTGGAGATCTTCTTAGGGTTTGGAGGCCTTGTTCGGGCATAGGTGAGTTGAGTGTGGTTCAGGGCTTTGCGAAGTTTAGGGGAGGACCCTCCGAATCGAAAGGGGATGCTTCACCCAAGATCTCGACGCCCGCTGTGCTCCGCATGGACCTTCGGTGGGGCATGCCCTTCAACTTCGGTTTGGCCTTCGAACCCAATTGTGCCAGCTATGTGACAATCCTTCATATTCCTGCATGCCCACGTATTCCTTCACACAAGTGTGAGCTGGAAGGTGGGCTATGGACGCTTGCGCGGCTCACACCACGGAGCTTTCCAGAGCAGAAGGACTACTTAAAAGCGATGACGAGTAGAACAATGAAGTTTCAAAGGCCGTGAACCCATTTAGAAAAGCAAAGAGAGTTCATTGATGTCTGTTGAGTCGAGTGACTCCACAGAGTTGGTTGTGTGCTCGAGATGAGGAGCGCGGCAAACGCGGCAGCAGCCGCCAGACACCCAAGAGCTGTATATTGGTTGGGAGTAGCTGATTGAGTTCGAGCTGGCTTTCAGACGTTCAGGGAGAGAATTGGCCTCGATCGCATGCTGTGGTGTATCGGTTAGGAGGCTGTCGGTGTGTGCTGGCGTTCGTTAGCTGCAATACATCCAGTCCAAACAAAACAAAGATCGGAAACGCGTGCAAAATGCGTAATCTTTTGTGCTGCAAAGCTGGAGATGATGTGCATTTGTTGCGCCGGTCTGCCCAACATCACCCATCAATGATGGCGAAAGGTTTCAAGGATTTCACATTGGAGACCTAGAAAAGCCAGGGAATAAATACATCTCGCTTGGAATTCCTTTTTGGAGCCCGCCAGAGGCGGCATGAAGGCCATGCCACCACATGCGAATCGGAAACTCGAGCTGGAAGAAGCCGCAAGAGCAGTTCAGGAGCTGCCCGCAGCTGCATGGGATCGTTTCCACGATGCCATGGGCATGCAAGTTGTAGCTCTTCAACATGAGCTTGGAGCAGATGTGTGACGTTGGAGCTCATGTGCATAGTTCGAGTTAGGGAGTCCCATGCGTGCTCACTGAGGTGGACCTGGACAGCGAGCCTGAACTCCGAACGCACGCCGCAGATCGCTTGCCACAAGAAAACTGTCCTCGAGCTGTAGCCTTGCTAACAGCATGCCCAAACAGAAACAGCTTGATTCAGTGGCTGTCGAGCTGTCACGGCCAAACAGTAGATGGTAGAAGATGCAACACGCAGATTCTGTTCGTTGGCACGGCCGCGATGGTAGAGGGCACAGATGCAAGACTGATACTGTGACAGTGGACGGAGGCGCGCGCGGTGCTTCAACTTATGCAAGTGGAGAAATCGCAGTGGTCTTAAAGGGTTTTCTGGATGATTGCCGGAAGGTGGTGAGCCAAGTTACTTGTCGTTAAACATCTGTCATCTGGGAACCTAGCACGAAAGGAAGCTGTTCAGCTGGCCCTGTGTGCTCCGGCAATACTGGGTTCCTGGAAGGAGCAAGCAGAAGCCAATGCGGAACAGGGTCATCGAAGTCCCAATAAGGCTAGGTTCCAACTTTCAGCAGTGCAGTGCAGGCCACCACCATCCCCACAAAGAACATGCGCGGAGCTCTTGCTGAGAAAATAGGGAAACAAAATGTTCAACAATGGTTCTCACATGTGATGCATTCGCCTCCACAGCCTTGTGTTGGGTTTGTCGCGCATTGCTTTGCAGAAAAGAAATGTTTTCTTTAGCGGGGGGGAGGCGTCTCCGGCGGGGGGGCGCAGCCCCCCCTCCGGAGAATCCGGTTTAGCCCTAAACCATAAAACGCCAAACCCTAATCCCTAAATGCAAAAATCTTCAAAACCCTAATCCCAAAACACGAAACACCTTCGAAACCCTAATGCAAAATGCGAAAACCCCAAAAAACCCTAATGAAAAACTGGATTTTAGGGTTTAGGGATTTTAGGGTTTAGGGATTTTAGGGTTTAGGGATTTTAGGGTTTAGGGATTTTAGGGTTTAGGGAGTTTAGGGTTTTTAGGGTTTAGGGATTTTAGGGTTTAGGGATTTTAGGGTTTAGGGATTTTAGGGTTTAGGGATTTTAGGGTTTAGGGATTTTAGGGTTTAGGGATTTTAGGGTTTAGGGATTTTAGGGTTTAGGGATTTTAGGGTTTAGGGATTTTAGGGTTTAGGGATTTTAGGGTTTAGGGAGTTTAGGGATTTTAGGGTTTAGGGATTTTAGGGTTTAGGGATTTTAGGGTTTAGGGATTTTAGGGTTTAGGGATTTTAGGGTTTAGGGATTTTAGGGTTTAGGGATTTTAGGGTTTAGGGATTTTAGGGTTTAGGGATTTTAGGGTTTAGGGATTTTAGGGTTTAGGGATTTTAGGGTTTAGGGTTTAGGGTTTAGGTTTAGGTCTTAGGGTTAGGGTTTAGGTTTTTAGGGTTAGGGTTAGTGGTTTAGGGGTTTAAGGGTTTAAGGTTTAAGGGTTTAAGGGTTTAAGGGTTTAAGGTTTTAAGGGTTTAGGGTTTAGGGCGGTTTAGGGCGGTTGAGGGCGGTTTAAGGGTTTAAGGGTTTAAGGTTTTAAGGGTTTAAGGGTTTAAGGGTTTAAGGGTTTAAGGGTTTAAGGGTTTAAGGGTTTAAGGGTTTAAGGGTTTAAGGGTTTAAGGGTTTAAGGGTTTAAGGGTTTAAGGGTTTAAGGGTTTAAGGGTTTAAGGGTTTAAAGGTTTAAGGGTTTAAGGGTTTAAGGGTTTAAGGGTTTAAGGGTTTAAGGGTTTAAGGGTTTAAGGGTTTAAGGGTTTAAGGGTTTAAGGGTTTAAGGGTTTAAGGGTTTAAGGGTTTAAGGGT